TAAAACAGCACGAGGGACTGCATGTTGACTTAAAAGAGAGATAATAGAACAGGGATAGACTGGAGCAGCTTGGCTGGTGAAGTAGAGTATGAACCAGAATTAACTGGCAATAAAAACAACCCTCTCATTCCACGTGTCCTTGTTTGATAGTTTAAGGTCAAAAAAACACATTAGTTTGAAAGTCAAATGAATAATTCAAATAAAATGGATGAGTTAGTCAACTGTCAGAAAATGTTTTCTTAATCATTTTAGTAATTGATTTATCATTGAAGTCATTCATCTATGGACTCTCATGACCTTGACCTAATTATTTAGATTGAAAAAGTGATCATTTGTAAAAGCATTAAAGTAGATTTTCCACTAATTAGCACAAAAGCACAACATAAAAAGAAATTAAAATAGTGTGTCCTAAGTCATGTATTTAAATTAAAGGATCAAACAAAAAATTTTAGTTTATAGAATGACAAAATATAGTTAAGTGTCTGTTATAATTCCCCAAGTCGACACCTTATAATGTCTTGTTCTGTCCAACCGAGTGTAAATCTCAAAGATACTCAAAGATTATAATTCCTGCCAATTCATTTTGTGTTACAGCTCCAGTCAAAAGATCCAAAACAACAACAAACTAAAATCCCTTTAACAATCTACCGGAGCATTGTTGTGGTTTGTTTTGAAACTTTGAAAGGAAAGTCATTGACAGTGATCATATGTGATTATAGTTGTTGATTAGAAGACTAATTGTTTGGACGATAAATGTCCATTAGCTTTTACAAAGTCGTGTCCAAGTGTCTTTTTTGTGCAACGAACAAACCAAAAGCCAAATATGATTCTTTAATTATTATAGTAAACAAAGGAAGGCAACACATCTGTTTAAAGCAGACTATCATCTTTTAATCAGAGGATTAACTCTCGCTTTAAGTGTGTGTGTGTGTGTGTGTGTGTGTGTGTGTGTGTGTTGTGTTTAGGACCAGATATAAAAAAAAGTGGGGCAAAAAATTAAAGTAACACGTCACCAAAAATATGAATGACATCCAGAAAACGGTTTGCTAACATGTTGCTAACGTTAGCACAGTGGATGATATAATTCATATTAAATAAATATAAAAAAATTAAAGATGAAATAATAAACATCTGCAGACATCAGAGGTTGAACCCGGGTCAGAAAACCTCCGCCTGCGACTCAGTGTGACGACAATAAAACAAAAGGTTCCGCACAACAGCAGAAGCTAAAGCGTGAGTCAAATGGTGGATTTAGTGTGTTGTTGGTGAACCAGGGCGAAATGTACAAACCAGCACCTGTGTGTTCTTGTCTCCTCTCGCTGCGGAGTGAGCAACAGCCGCAGCAGGAGGAGCGGGAGGAGCAGGAGCAGCAGGAGGAGGTGGAGGAGGGAGCGGGGTTGAAAGCTAAAGACGAGCTAACGCGTCCGCTAGCCGCCGCCGGCTAACACACAGACACACACATGTCTCCGCTAACGAAGGAGACGTGTGAGTGAAAAAGCTGCTCACACACGCGAGCGGAAGCAAAGTGAAACATGTGCAACGTGGAGAACCGGTGAGAGAGGAGCAGGGAGCGGAGGAGAAGTCGACTGACCTTTGCAGACGGTCCCGGCGCGCTGCTGCAGCACAGGAGAACTTTGTGTCGACCCGGAAGATGAACGCTGAGGCACCCGGCGTTCGGTTATTATTGGGTCGTGTGATGATGATGATGATGATGATGATGATGATGATGATGATGATGATGATGCACAGACAACAATGACCAAACATCAACAACTTTATATTTATGAATAAATCACCTTCCATGCACACGCCCTCTCCTGGTGCTTATAGTATTTTTGTTTCCTATTTTTATATTGTTTGTATTTAAACTTGCACAAATTCAACACTGCAAAGTCCTTGTTTGTTTACACTTTCGATTCTGATTCATCCTTTAACTGAAATCACTTTTTCAAATCGTTTCAATTATGAGACAAGTATTAAGTTAAAGATTATCGACAACACTATTGTACCCAAACCACAAAGTAAACCTCTCTTCTTATACAACTGCTTCTAGAACTTTATTTATTTACACTTTTATTTACTTTTTTTCCACACACACACACACACACACAC